ACAACATCTATCCAAATATTTCTAATTAAACATGCTTTCTACATAGCATACTTAAAATAATTTAAATTTTCATGCAATTTATTTAGTAAATAAATAAATTAAAAGGAAAAAGTTTAGAAATCATTTCTCCTTTGTGTACACCCTATTTTAGACAAAATTTTGGCATGACTTCAGATCAGAAGAGTTTCTAATGTTTACTATATGTAGAGTTTCAGTTCTAAGAGTAAAGGTACCCGAATTGTCCTTGTTAGTGCCTCATTGGGCTACTAACCCTCAATCCTAGTCCATCACAGACTAAAGTGGATCGAGTTCAATTCGAGGGGATACAATTCTTTATGCCTGACATGGAGAATAAATTCTCACGAAGACATAGAGCATATGAACCCCGAAAGCTACTTGCTAGGTCTGACACGGAGAATAAATTCTCACGAAGACGTCGCTTTCACTCCCACTTAAAAGGGACAAGCTTGATTAAAAAGCTTATGTTATGCAATGCATGTGTTGTGTGTGAGGAGAAATGTTCAAACCTCTGACAGAAAAATAAATAATGAAATAAAATACTTGAAAATAAAATGAAACATTAATAAAATAATATACATATAAATATTATAAAAATAATAAGTATATATAAAAATTTTGAAAGGAAAGAATTATAAATTAAATATATGAATTTTTAATTTCTAATTAATAGAGATAATTTATAATTGATTTTAAAGCTTGACCAGGGGTCCCCAGCAGAGTCGTAATTGGTTTTCGCCCGGGTACAAAATTTTTACTTGACGGGAAAAATAAAACGAATAAATAAATGATTTTGATTAAAAAAATATTTTAGGAGTCGCCATTGACCTTTTTGGGTTAGGTAGGTCAAATACCTAAAAACAATCTTTTAAAATAATTTTTAAGAAAACATAATTTAAAAGATAAACTGATCTGCGTATAACCAAAAGTTTGAGTAAAACAGGATTCGTGGTCGATTACGTTTAGGGAAGGATTAACACCCTTATAACGCCCAAAATTTGGTACTTATTAATTATAAATTGTCTCTATTATTTGAAATTTTAAAAATTCAAAAATATATTTAATTCATAATCCTGTTATTTTGTATTTTAATCGGATCATTCTAAGGAAGAATAATATATATATATATATAGTGTTTTGTAAATAGGACATTTATTTATTTAAGAATATCAGAAAAGGGCTTCTAGTTGCTTTAAGACAGCTCTTTTCTTCGATATTAATAAATAAAATAAATATTAAAAGTGTAATAATTTTTACTAAAAATAATTTAAATAAAACAAAATTATAATTTTTATAATATTTAAATTATTTAAAATACCAGAATAGGACATCCAGTTGATTTAAGACTGCCCTATTCTTTGGTATTGAAAATAAATAAACATTATTAAATAAATAAATTAATAATATATATATAATTATAAGACTAATATAATAAAATAATAATTAAAGTAATAATTTAAAATATATTAAAAATAATAATAATAAAAATTAAGTTAAAATATAACTAAACAATGACTAAAATAAATAAAATTAAAATAATAATAATAAAATGTAAAAATAATAATAATAAAACTTGTAAATAAATGAAAATATTAAAATTAATGACTTAATTATAACATATTCAAATTTAGTACCTGGTTTAAAAATAATTATTTAATTTTTCAGGGACCAAACATGCTATTTTACCTTATTGTTAATTTAGTGACTAAAATAAACATATATTTAAATTCGAATAATAAATTAAAATAAATTAAAACATGCTTTTTGGATCAAAATATTAATTATTAAAATTAAAGGACTAAATCTGTCATTTACCTAAAATATATATTATTTAATATAAAGGACTAAAATAAATAAAATTAAAATTAAAGAAACGAATTATAAAGATCTAAAATTGGATTTAGTAACTAAAATATAAAGTTATAAACCTATAATGGCTGTAGAAAGGGTTTTACCCTTATCAAATTACACACAGGCCCTCCCTTAAACGACGCCGTTTAAGAGAGGGTACAAATACCATATTATAGTCGGCCTGAAGGGCCATCTTCCCATTTCTCTCTTTCACTTTCTCTCTCTAACTGAGAGAGTTTAAAACTCTCTCGCTTCTCTCTAGCTTCCCTCACCGGAGGGAAGCCGGTTACCGGCCGGCAGCCTTGTGCCACCGCCAACCTCACCGCCGGTCACCGCATCCGGTGGCCGAAAAATTTTATTTTACACCAAAATGTAGATCGGACCGTCCTAATGACGGTTCCAGTGTCTTTTTCCCTTAAATGGCCCCCGATCGGAGCAAATTTAGGAAAATACCTTCGGTTTTTGAAGGTTTTTTGACACGTGGAGGCTCGTATGAACTCCGGTAATGGCGTGGCTTCCTCGGTAAGTATCTCTCGTCTTTTCTGGTTATTTTGGTGTTTGTGGTGCTGGTTACTTGTTTCCTTGTTGTTCTCTGGGCTGCTTCCTCTCTTGCTCTGTCTCTTTTGTTTGCATGTGAGCCGAGGCTTTATAGCCACTCCGGTACTGGCCTCGGACCGGTTAATATAGTGGCAGTTTGGTGAGTCACCAAACTTTAGTGGTGACTCACAGTGGATTTGAACGCGGACGGTTGGGCTTGAGTATTCTGGAAACTCTCGGTTGGCGTCATAGTAGCATGTAGATTGGCGTGGAACGGCGTAGATCAGCGGCAACAGCATCGGCAGCCGCGTGTCCTTAGGATATCATACCCTAGGGTTTGTATCTGGAGCATATGAGGACCGTTGGATCAAGGCCAGATCCAACGGCTGTTGTTGTTGGCGGCTAGGGCAGAGATTATACAAACCCTAACTATTTAGGGTTAATATTTGGGCCACCAAATCTGGGCCTCTATATTTGGGTTGGGTCTGTAATATTCAATAAAATTATTTAATAATAATAATATAATAATAATAATAATAATAAAATACAAATAATATTTAAATGAAAAAAACGAGTATCTTCAGATACCATACAGTTTTAAACGATATAATGATAAAAATATTTTAAACGTTTGTATTTGTTATCATTTTCTTTTATTGTTTTAATCGCTAATATTTTAATTTTTAATCAAAATAAATTATATTTGATAGAAATCATTAGTTGATTAATGATCAATAAATGTTGTTGACATGATATTTTCACATGTGTTTAATTATTTACGTGACACATGTTATATTATTATTTTTTAATGATGTGACACAAATTATACCAACAATTGAACACACGTGAAAATATCATGTTAACAATATGTGTTGGCCGTTAGCCAATTAACAGTTCCCTCCCAACAAGATTTATTTTGACCAAAAAACGAAATACCGTGAGCTAAAAAGCTAGAAAAATATGGGATAAAGTGACCATTTATATAAATATTGGGGTAATTTTGTCATTTTATTTTTTATTTAAAAATCTAAATTTGGTTGTTAACATCATTAAAATTTATATATTAATTTTAAGTCCATCATGATATATTTTCACATAAACACAAATACTATATATATTTAGATCCTGGCTTTAATCGCTACATAAAAATGAAGTCTAGAAACCATATATAAACATTTAAAATTACATAACCAACAATAACTATATATACATATACATAAGCATCGAAATTTACAAATAAAGCCAACACCTTCGCGACAGAAGTACAAACAAAACCAAATCATTGATGAAAACCCTAATAAAACCCTCAAATTCATCTTCCTTCTAATATGATTTTATTTATTTTTAATTTAACCACTTATTTCTTAGCCATTGATCAATTATGTTGAATTGGGTTTTAAAAGTTCATCTATCCCAATCAAGTTTACTTAATTCACAAACGTTAATAATTAAACTCGTGATCTTACATAAATGTATATTGTTTTATTCTACTAGATCAACTGGTTGTTGATAAATGCTTTTATCTTTGACATGCATTTACTTGTTTTTTCCCTCAAACCCTAAACCCCCGAAACAAATAAAAGTGGGGGTCAGAGCAAGCAGAAACTGACCCTGCAAAAAGCAAACTGAGTTAATGATCTCCAAAGTAGTTTTAGCACAAATTTGGAAAACATGGGCGTGCTTTGCTCTTCTCATGCAGAAGTAATCAGTGGGTTTGGAATTTGCCTCAATGTTAGGGTTTTGATTGCAATGCCAATCATTTCATCATTCACGTGCTCAATTCCAACCTTATTAATAACCACAAGATGCTCCTCAGTTTATCAATCATAACCAGAGATTTTCTTCCTGCCCAAACACACACAAGCTTGCTTTAATGTTTCCGCATGAAATTTGTACTATCTATATACTCGTATCTCTGAAAATCACGTTAATGGGTTTTCAGACAATCAAGCTCATCTTATAATTTTTTTGTCACTTCTGTTTAGGATTACATGAAGCTTGAGAGTAATAAATAATGTCTCATAATTTTTTTGTAGTAAAATGGTATTTGTTTGTGTTTATTTAGAGATTTGAGGAACAGCAATAAAGTTTATTAACTTGTATACTTTTCATAATTATTCACAACTCTTTTAAAATATATCGAATATTTATAATGAATATATCGGAACTCTAAACAAAAGATGAATTGTGCGAAACTAACATATAACTAGTGAGTTGATTTTTAAAAAAAAGAAAAAGCACTGAAGTATTTTTTTGCTGCTATGAAAAATTAAATATACGCCGAATGCAATATGAATGAAAATCAACATAGAAACATTTTAGTTAATATAAAGATAATCAACGTCTAAAAGTTATTAAGTGGATCAAGATTTCAGAAAACTCCTAAAAAGTAATACCTAAAACCATTCCATCAATTTTTAAATATTAAATAAAGCAATCTTTATATGATTTTTTTGTTGTTTGATGAACTAATGAGTTAAACCCAAAACCAGAAATGATTCTTTTCCGGGGAAAGAAAATTTAGATATAGCCAGGAAAAAAGAAAAAAGAGAATGGCAAATTGATTGTTGTTTCGAAGCATACTTGAGAGATATGGACAAGTCACCGTCAGCTAAGCAGAAGAAAACACAGATTAATTAATGGTAATAGAACATTATCTTACAGACATGAAATGGAAATCTCGGCTGACGTTAATCACCAGTCCCTTTCTAAGCTTACTCCTAATGACAACATAATTTGAAGAAAAACATTAATGGGATAATTCCCAAGTCCACATGCAGTCAAACACAGATGAACCAATGGATATCTTAGCACCAGAGGCATTGACATTGTTGCCCTCCTCGGATACAGCGCCGAAGTTCAGTGGGGAATCGCCGTCAAGCGGCGATGCAGCAGCCAATGTTGGTTGAGACAAAGAGAAAGGGAACTCCGAATTCTCCTGCAGAGATCTCAGGCTTTGAAATCCTGAAACCCCGGCGGTACGTGAGTACCTCGAGAGTGAATCGAAACCTGTGTTGATCATTTGAGGCGGAGGTGGCAAAGCGAGGTCGAAACCGGGGTGAAAAAAAGGGGTGGAAGTGGGAGCGGCGGCAACGTAGGAGGGTGCAGCAGCCATCGTGGAGAAACAGGACACGTGCTCAGTGTGAGTATGGCTGTCGTAAGAGCAGCTGTCACGGTCAGTGAGGGAAATATTGGTGGGATCAAGGAGAGGGGGAAGGGAGATCGATGACGGAGAGCTTGGTTCTGGGTAAAACGAAACGGAGGTGTTCATGCGGCTCCTCGCTACACAGCCATGGCTGCTGCTAGAACCATTGCCAGCGCCACTCTTCTGAAATACCCTAGAAATAACCCATTCATCCTGCAAAGAAAATCTTTGAGCTAGTTTAGAACTCACTGTTTGAAGAACCAAACAGTTTATCGGACAAAAGAAGCAACGGTGACGTAGGAGAGAGAGACCTTTGAGCTTGTGGGGAGACAATGGTAAGCAAATTTGCCTTCAAGCCTATACTCATGCATGACCCAGTAACTCTTTTCACCTTTAGGAGCCCTTCCCCTATAAAAAACCAGGGTTTTCTTCATTCCAACAAGAGCACAAGTCTTGGAGCTATAAATCTCCCTATCTTTCCCTGTAGCCTTCCAGTAACCAGCCTCGGTTGCTCGGTTAGTCCTCAACCCCGTCGGGTACTTCCTATCTCTTAAACTGAAGAAATACCACTCTTTCTCTCCCATCTTCGCTTTCTCTGCAACATCACATAATCAAAAAGAAAAAAAAGAAAAAAGCTGTAAACAGATTATTATAACATCAACGATTACAAATGTAAAAGGTAATGATCACATACCAGGAAGCTCCCATGGCTCACACTTGTTAAGGTCAACTTCAGCTATAGCTCGACCCGTAAAGGTACCATCAAGAACTTTCTTCAACAAATAGTAAGTAATGAGCTCTTCATCAGTCGGATGGAAACGAAAACCGGGCGGCAAGTGAGTGTTACCGGAGTCAGAATGAGGATAACTGTCCATATTCTAACTCCAAAAGTCAAAAGGCTTGAAATGAAAACCCTAGACTTCAGAACACAAAGCTGAACATCATGAAATGAAAGAAAGAAGTGAAGTTGAATGAAGAGGAAGGGGGAGAGGGGTTGATATATTGGGGGGAAATCGGATTTGATGAATCGAGTGGCGGAGGAAAAACGGAACGAATTATAATAAGAAGATTAAGGGGTTGATATATTGGAGCTGGAAAAAACAGTCTGTGTTGCTTTTCTCTGCACTGTTCTGTTTGGAAATCTTTCTCTTTTCTAGCTCTAGAGAGAGAGAGAAAGGGTGTGATGTAAGGGGGATTAGAGTATGCGTGCGTGCGTGAGGAAATGTGCAGGTATTCTCTGTTATGTCAGTCTAAGAAAAAAATGAAGGGAGAAAGTAAAATTTCTTTTCTTTTGCTTTTTTGAGAGATGACATATTTATATATTTATTTTGTGTTTGCGGACATAATAATAATATTATTTACAACGTGAAAAATGTAATGAATGAATCGATAAAGCTGTTTCATATCTCTTATTGACAGATGAGTACATGGATAAAAATTATCGACTTACACATATACTTACACCTTGTAATTTTTTAGTATCATTTACTTTTTAAAAATAAAGGTTTAGATTTTAATAAGATAAGTTTTGATGTTTTTCGACTATGTGATGGGTTAGTCTAAATAGGTAATATCGTAAATTAAAATCATTATGGTGATAATGTAGATATTTTGTTGCTATAAGATCACAAAACTGATTACAAATATTTAGATCAATCAGTACAAATTATTTCTGTTTAATTAATGTCTGGAGTTTGTGTCTACATGAGATTTAAAGGTATGGTACCATGTCCAAGTGTTCATGATGGTCCCTTGGCCTTTTTATATTAATTTAATATTTGCTTATAGGCATGTGCACTTGTTGGTCTATGAAATGGTGTGGGATTTTTCTTCCCTTTCCTTATAGGAAGTGTGAATTTGTTGTCATCTTGGTTAAGGATTGCCGACAGATTTAACAATGTTCATGGTTACCGGTGATCATATTATGATGATAATTTCATCGTTCACAGAAAGTTTTGTTTTGAATCGAACCGTTCAAATTAGTTTTTAATTTTAAAAATACAAGTTTAGATTGAATTATTTAATTTTATTTAAGTTATGATTGATTCAAATTCGGAATTAAAATAAATAATGGATTTCACTCTACTCGACATAATGTTATAAGCTTATAACTAAAGATAATTATAATTTTTTTCTAATTAAATATTTATTTATATGATTTTTTATACATTTAAATCAAATGGAGTCAAATACGAATAAAAATCCTTAATTTTCATATAAAATTCTAGCGGTTCAACAGTCTAATTCTACTCGTTATCCTTCCTAAACCAGATCAAGCATGATTAATTATCAGGTTTTGGAGTTTATTAAATTTTTTTAAAAAGAAAATCTATATTATCATTTCAATAATAACAACTATCCTAGCGTCAATTTAAATATATATGATAATATTTTAAAAAATAGAAAATTAAATTGTTTTAAATGAAAAATGTGTCAAATTATACCGTACAATATTTCAGATTAGGTAATGGCAAAATCATTATTGCTATAATCTAAAAATAAACAAATAATGAAAATATTAATGTTTCAAAGTACTTTAACAATGGTAGATTGCAAGTCAGTAGAAGTCTGTAGCTTATGAATTTTCTTTCATGTTTTTTGATTGATTCATTTAACTGTTCATTCTATCAAACACTGATTTTTTTATTATTTATATGTAAGTTACAGAAAATATAACGTATTTAACATCTTTTGCAGAAAAACATTGTACATACACTGCACCTTATGCTGATTTGGTATCACGTTCGAAAGGCACATCTTATAAAGCGCGCCTTACGCCGGTTGGATGTTAAATCCACAATTTTTTTAAAACAATGTCTAGTAGGTATTTAATTTTGTAAGGGCGATATTTGTGTAAAAAAATCAACTTTTTTCCATTTTTTGTGAAAAAAAATTATACATTAAAATCTTTAAATATGCTTTTACAAATTATTTTATAACTTGACAATTTTTTGGGTTTGTATGAAATTACACAATATAATTATGTCTACAAATTACCACTTGACACTTTCTAATGTCTTTTTGACCATTCAAAATCCTATACGTATAGTCTAGTCTAGGAAAACTTTGATAGTAAGTAATTTAAAATATGAATAATTTTATAAAAGTTTTATAACTAGTATTTCTTTTCAAAATGATGATGATGATGATAATAATAATAAGAATAAATATTTTATAATTTAAAAAATTATAAATTTCATATATATATTTTTTAAAATCTTAATTTTTAAAATTAATTATTTAAAAATATAAAAAAATATTAAAATAAAAATTTAATTACAATTGAGGGATCAAATGAATTATTATTCATTAATTATTATTTTAATACAACAATTAATAATGTGTATTTATTTTTAAAATTAAGTACTATGACCATAAATTATCAAAATTATTAATTGTTGTTTAAAAATAATAATGAATTAATAATAATTTTATAAAAGTTTTATAACTATTATTTTATTTTCAAATAATGATAATGATGATAATAATAATAATAATAATAATAATAATAATAATAATAATAATATTAAATATTGTATAATTTAAAAAATTATAAATTTCATATATTTTTGAAAAAATTCTTAAGTTTTAAAATTAATTGTTTAAAAATATAAAAAATATTAAAATAAAATTTTAATTACAACTGAGGGATTAAATGAATTATTATTTTTTAACAACATTTAATAATCGTGTATTCATTTTTAAAATTAAGTATTATGACCATAAGTTATCAAAATTATTAATCGTTGTTAAAAATAATAATTAATGAATAATAATTCATTTGATCATTCAATTGTAATTAAAATTTTATTTTCATATTTTTTATATTTTTAAAAAATTAATTTCAAAACTTATGAATTTTTTTAAAAATATATGAAATTTATAATTTTTTAAATTATAAAATATCTCTTATTATTATCATCATCATCATTTTGAAAAATAAATAGTAGTTATAAAACTTTTATAAAATTATTCATATTTTAAATTAATTACCCTCAAAGTTTTCCTAGACTATACTATATGTATAGGATTTTGAAATGGTGAAAAAGACATTAGAAAGTACCAAGTGATAATTGGTAGACATTACAGTATTGTGTAATTTCATACAAAAACTAAAATTTGTCGAATTATAAAATAATTTACAAAAACATATTTAAATATTTTAATACAAGAAAGTTTTTATTTTAAAAAAGAAAGTTGATGTTTTTACATAAATATCACCTTAACATAAATTAATTATCTGTTAGCCACCCTTTCAAAATATTTTACGAATTTAGCACTGATTTTGCCGTAATATAATTTTATGTCAGTAATATAATTTTAAAAAATATCACTATGATTGTGGAACTTTATGTCAGTAATATAATTTTAATAAATATTAAACACTAAAGTGATATAAAATTATAAGCTTTTAAAAAATACCATAAAATTATCAATAAAAATATTTAAATTATATTGACGTGGACGATTTTACCTGAAATCTAAAAAAATGATTTACTGTGTATTTTCTTATTTAAAATGCAGGGGAAATGTACCGAATAAATCACGATATTCAGCTTGATTCGCCATATCTACACTGAAAACCCCATAATCATAAAATACTGAAAGTAGACAATCCTAAAATAAAATAAAATAACAGGGAATAAACAGAAATTAGGAAAAGGGTGAGAGTAGTAGGTGAAGTAGACTTGTTGAAATTACAGCTTGAGAACACCTCATTTGCGAACAGGTCCTTGCTTCTGTCCTTCCTTATATTCCTTTTCTTGTTTTTACATCAAAATTACTGTTTGATGCGTCGGAATCAAAATATATTTTTTTATCCCCTAATAATATTAAGAAACTATTATTCGTCGCATTTGAATTTTGAAGTAAATCAGCTTATTGAATTGCTAATCTGATTTGTTTAATTAGAATTGTGTTGGAAAACCCTGAAGAAATAACGGTTATATGTAGGCTTTTGTAGTGTTTAGTTTTAAAATGGGGAATTGCAACGCATGAAATGATTAGATTAGCATGCATGCATCAATTCAAGCAATCCCATCCATCCATCACCAGCTCTTTGAAACGCTACGAGATTATGATGCCTCATGCTCGGATTTTGAGATTCACAAGCTGGCTTTACATCAAATCATCTCTTCAATCTGCAATTTCTGCATGCTTAGGTCTTTCTTTCTTCTTCTCCCCCAGCCATCGGCATTTTCGGCTGCTTTTTCCACTCAGACTCAAAACCAATAAAACAAAACAAAAAACAAAGCTCGATAATCGACAAATTAGAAAGCGGGTGGCGCGTGACGACAAAGTGAAGTAAGCCGCGCCGCCCTCCACCTCTGGCGCCTTGTAGTGCGAGTCAGGCCTCTCCTCTTCGTATTGGCCCACCGCTATTCTCTCTCGCTAAAATGCGCCGTCTCTGTGCACCTTGGCATATTGGCCGATTGCGTAAACTTTATGAATTTTGTACAGTGGCAGTAACAATAATCGGACCCCGTACATCTTTGATCCTTTGACACGTCAATATCCATGGTAGAATCAGATAACGTGGCAAGATCTTGGGTGAGGCAGTTTTACAATCTGGAATTTGTTTACTTCAACCTTTAATGAGATTTTATTTACGGTTAAATTACTTTGATATGAGAATAAATAAGATTATTTTTATTCGTAACATAGACTCTTCCTTTTGGTTATGACTTTACCAGGAATCACCGGAAGGTGTCGAACCGATGCTACAAGAGGACTATTGTCCTAGTAATTAGATAGTTTATTTATGTTTCTTTCCACCTTGTTTATTAATTATTATTATTTTTACAAATTTCTTAATTGTTAAACAAAATTATAATTTAAATAAACAATAAATAAATCTAGATACTTAAATCAAATTAGGATTTTAAATATTAACGTTATTAATAAAAAAAAATTGAATTTACACAGATGTTATGTAATGAGTTTAATTATTAAGAAGATTTTAAATATTGACGTTGGAAAATTATTAAGAATATTATTCCAATAATAATTTTTTATAAAATTTGTTTTAAATTAATTAACTTACAAATAAGATATAGATTATAATAAAAAATGGTAAATTACATATTTAGTCCACCACATATTTTTACAATTTTGTTTTGATTATTAAATTACTTTTTAAAATTATACTTAATATTACATTTTAGTTCAATTTTTGTCACTCGTCGTTAAAAGATAAATAGAACTATTGATTTGGTAGTTTTTTTCCCTATGATGCTATGTCACAAACTTATAGTAACATGCTAATATCGAACATTAATTTTTTAATAACGATTGATCAAAATATAATATTATATATAATTTAAAAAATTAATTAAATAATCAAAATAAAATTAAAATAATAAATGAGTGAATACATACGCAGTTTACTCCGAAAAATAAAATTTATTTACTAAAAGTAATTAATTAAGTGTGCCCACGTGGTCAACGATGAACATGTTGTTGATAGGACAATGTATGGTGGAACTGATCCTAAATTGTGGACGTTGATATAACTATCAAATTGATTGACATTCCCATCATAACGCATTTCCAATACTGTATATGAAGTTAAATTAAATAAAGTTCCATTCTTGTTCACCTTTTGGAGTCGCAATATGAAGGTTCATTCAATCATCTTTTACTCATGCCTCTATATATATTTTTTGTGTACATTTTCTATTCCTTAACAACACAGTATTAAAATAGGAATACATAAATTTAGAATTGTTGATTATAACAATAGTGTTTATTTTATTGATGGTGATTCATATTTATATTTTCTAGTAAAGAGTCGTAGTCAAGATAATGATGATAATTTAATAATTTTAAAGATCAAATGAAATTATCAGAAGGATTAATTTTGAGGAAGAAGTAAAAAAGGAAAAAAAATTATCTTTTCGATTATGTTTAGAGTATAAATATATTAATCATAGATTATGAGAAATTTATAGATATTTTCAAGGACATGCATATATTAATAATATAAATTTTTTGTATGAAATTTAAGGTTGTTACATGCTCACACTCAACTCAATGTGGATCCATCATTAAGGTGATTGTAATCGGACCTAAAGACATCATAACTGTAAATAGAGCCAATTTGTATTGATAAGAGTAATAGTCATTAGATTTGACTGTAAAAGTAAAGTAAACAATTTATGAATGGAAATTCTAATGGTTATATTGACGATTCATCAACGTTATTCGATAAATTAACTCTAGAGATATAATATAAATTAATCTGTATAATTTTAGATGTAAGGTTTACAAACCTTCATTTGGTGCTGTATTTTTATATCAAAAGTTTAACTTTTAACTCGAGTGTGTTTTGATATAATGTTTATTTAAATTTATTTTTCATTTTTTTTTTTTTAATTTAAGCCATCTCAAATAACTTGATGAAGGAATCTAAACCCCATAAATCCTTTTTGTAAACTTGAAAATATTCAAAGTAATTACTATAATAATAAAATGTAACTGTGTTAAAGTACATGGTATTGGGCTAAATATTAAAACCCTACAAAAAGGAAAGTATTCAGACGTCTTTTCCTTTATAAGGTTTTTGGATGCAATTCTATACCTAGCTTATTTGTTGTGCAATTAGGATTCCAATATTTTTTTCATGTATTAATATATACAATTTTAACAAAACCGTAATATATACTAATCTTTTAACAAAATGATGTTAAAATTATAAGCATAGACCAATCAGAATTGAACATGTACAATTGAAAAAGATTAGATAATTTACACACAACAAAAAGTTGAGTACTAAACTGCATGTCAATGCAAAAGTTAGGTGCCGAAGGTTATATTAACCCTAAAAACAAAGAGGATCGAGTTTGCGTTTATTGGCACCCAAGACGCTGCGTTTTGCTAACTGGATCATCTACTTTCCCCTCTTTCCCCCCCTCCCCCTCTGAATCAGTACTCCAAAAACCTCGGTGCCGAGGACCCGCAGTTCGCTACGGCCCTATCCATAACCCTAAATGGCGTCGACGTCAGTATCTCGGACCGACGGCGTTACTGGAAGAGTCAGACGCGCGTCTGCCAATCTTTACGCCGACAACCAAGCGCTTGTCGCTGTAAGTTATTTTTTCTTTCCATTTAAGTTTAAATTCTTTTCTGTTTTACAAAGCAAATTTGAAAGTTACAAATTTTCTTTTCAGGAGATAAGGAAAGCTTTGAATTTGATGAAGAACATTGCTGTAGACTTGGAGAATGATAATCAATCTGACATGGTCTTGTTACATTAATCTTAGTCTGTTTGATGATATTTATTCTTTAAGCATAGAATCATCTTTCTCCCCCCTTTTTAGATACTAGGAATATGTTAAAGATTAATCAAGTTATTGTTTTTACTTTTTAGTTTGTTTATGTCCCCCCCCCCTTTTTCTTGGTAATTGTTTAACCTTACCTTTGATGTGTTAAAAGAAGTGGGGAAATGTGGGGGTTCAAATGGATTTAATATTTCTCCAATACCCATAAACTAAAAACCATTGTACTTGTTATGTAATAAGAAAGTATTGAATATTTGAAAAAAAAAGTATTAAACTTTTGCTCTGGTGAAGCCTGAGGGATGCTATAGATGATTAAAATTATAAGTATAATTTTTCTCAAATTTCTCATTTTGATTGATTAATAAGGATGATTGATGTGGGTACTAAGGAAAACAACAGTAATCAAAAGAAATAAGGCCGAACAAACAAGTAGGAAAGAAGATGGAACTCAAGAAAAACTCAGGGCTAAGGGAAAACTCTAGTTTTGTTTTAATTAAAAGAAAATAATAATGATAAATTGTAGCATTGTTAGGGTTTCCGTGGTTTGGGACCAAGTGCTTCGTTTGACTTTTATGTATCGGACTCTTTTTTTTAATGTCAGTTGTTACTAGAGATTCTAGATTGCAGACCGCCCTGATCTAGAAAGAGGATAAAAGTAACATTGGAGAATAAAATGAAATATGCGAAAACAATATCCGATGCTTTAGAAATATGACTCGAAAACTAAAAGTTTAAAGATAATCAGAATTCAAAGTATTTATTCAGTATGATATTGGCAATTCATTTTGTAGGTGAAGCAGCTAGAAAATGCTGTTGTTGAGCTGATAGAAACTCATGAAAACTGTCTACATCGTTCATCAGCCATTCAATCTGTTGGAGAAGCATACCAACCAGGGCCTGAGGTGCATGGTTAATAATATTTTTATGCATAATTTTTGGTTTAGCACTGTTATATATATATATATATATGCATTTATGAACTAACGTCATCTGTTGCTTGCATGTTTTAAACTACAGTTAACTGATTTTAAGGAGTTGCTTGACACGGAGTTTGAAAAGTTCAAGACTAGTTCATCTTCATGTCCGCAGAATCATCCACTGATGCATCAGTTTCAACAGGCTGTCTGGGTATGTTTTTTAAACTCATCAAGCCACTTCTCAAAGTATTTAGTATCAAGCGGAATAGAGGTAGCTAGAGTAGAATATAGACCACTTTGTGAAGGAGGTGCAAATACCATGTCAAGAACCACTGAACTAAAGCTGGTGTTATTAGATGTGATTTTGATAATAGGTTGTATTCTTTTAATGGAAGCAACAGTTGAGGGACAAGTGTGAATGTGTACTTTAGCTGAATAACATTGCATGAGATAATGGTCAGGCCTGCTGCTCAGTGCATTTACATTGAAGTAGAACTGCTTGTTATTGGTTTGCAATTGATGGGAACTCTGTTGGTCAGTAAATTCATGAAGCCACCCTGGCTCACAGCTTCTGTACTTGTGAATTGAGAAAAATATACTCATTTTGTCTTTTTCTCTCATATGCTAAAGTTACTGAAAACTGGATGTCAATAGATTTATATGCCACTGTATATGATATAATATGTATGTAATTATTGTATATCATCATTCAAGTGGGGCTTCTTACACATCTAGTGTTGTTCAATCTTCCGCAGAATGTTCATCATGCTGGACAGCCAATGCCAGGTGAAGAGCAGGAGGATATTGTCATGACCAGTACGGGGAGCAATATTAAGAATCTTAAATGTCCGATTACCGGAAAGAATATTACTGAACTAACAGAACCAGTTCGCAGGTATTGTGAAGTTAATTTGAAAATAGATCTTTCCGGTAAAAATCATATTTCTTTATGTTTTGAGTTGATGCATTTTCTGTTTTCTTGTGGAAAATTTAATTTATTTTGTTGCCATTCAAACTTTCCAGAAAAGCAATATGCATGGCCCTTGATTGATATTAATCTTAGTTATAAGTTTCAGTTGCGAATGTGAATGGTAAGGAAGGATTGTAGTTCCAACAACTTTCACTGAATATAGGAGGCTCTGTTGGTTCGGTTTAGAAAATCCTGAAAATCTATCTCATGTCAGGCGGCCTTTTAGAATTGCCCATATGGTTGAATTGTTTAGAAACTTGAGCATGCATCGCGATGCATATTTCTGCCCATTCTTTTGTTTCAACCTATTTCAAGTTTGTTTATTCCTGTGATGCAGCTTGGACTGCAAGCACATTTACGACAAGAATGCTATCCTGAACTTCATAAAATCCAATAACGGCAATGTCAAATGCCCTGAATCAGGTATACAATACTGATATCATATCGGAGTTCTTGATTCTTCTCTACTGCACTCTCATTCCTGACCATTTCTTCTTCTATCAGCTTGCCCTAAGATGCTGCAGGCAAAAAGAGTCGTTTGCGATCCATTGTTACTCTTTGAGATAGACGAGCTGCGCACATCAAGTAGACAGACTGCTAGGATCGATGTGATAGAAGATTTTACGGAAACGGATCCTCAAGGAGAAGAGAGTCCATGATGGGATCAGTTGTGCATTCCTCATTTTGACTGGCTCGATTTTGAATCACCGTGGCCTTTCCTAGCTGATTAGAGCCCCTGATTTATATAGCCTTAATGCAGATAATTAGAAGTGTTATGTATGCAAACTATGGAGACAAGTGAGAAAAATGCAGGAAGGAATTTGTATTTGGGCTTGGTTTTATGAGTTGATTTCAATCTAATATTATTTCCTGGAGTGCTTGCACGTCATTATGAAAGGAGTTAACTTTACTTCAAAAAATTTCTATATGAATTTGATTTCATGATTTAAATAAGTTTAAATAAACATGTATTAATTTGGATATAACAATATTAAATTGAATCAAGAAATCGAATTTAAATACTATAAATCTTCTCTAGAAGGTACTTATTTTTTTATTGGATCGGTGGGTCAATCGGGTAATACAGCACGTACTATAAATCTTTCTCATTGAGCAGAACTTAGCCATTTCCTACAATGGCTTACCTTACTAGGATTCCTGCCGGTCGAATCTTTGGCTTTTGCAGCCGTTCAATTTCCTCTCCAATCAAAAACCCATTCTTCAATTCTACTCTATCGTATGTTCCTTCACCTAAATTTACCATAACAGCCCAGTTCTTCCCATCTCCTTCACATTCTTCTTCGTCTGCTGCAGCGAATACCCAAGTGTTTAGCAGCAGAAATCGTTGGAGGCCCTTGTGTTTGTACTACACTCAAGGCAAGTGTACCCAGGTTTGCCTGCTAGCTTTTGCCACCTACCCTTTATTACAAACACTAGGAAAAAGCTAGTCGTTATTGATTTCATGCCTTTGTTTTCACAGTTTATCTGTTTGTTCGCCCCTGTTTGAGTTAAGTTCAAGTGCTTGATGTTGTTTTTATGTGGGAGTATTTTTTAACCATATGTTTTCCTGTTTGGGTAAATTTAACTTTTGATTAACAAAGTAGATGCCTTTAGTTTTTTCATACAATAATTATTCTTAGGCAGCATATTGTTTGAGTTGCATTTAGGTTTAAGTTATGGTGGGAATATATATGAAAAAAATAAGCATGTATTGTAAGTTATTATAGCTAATTTTCTTACTCTTTCTTCAAGTTCAGATGGATGATCCTTCCCATCTGGAGAAATTTAACCATGATTGTTCCAGAGATCTTCAAGTTAGTGCCACTGACATTGAGAACAAATGCTCCCAAGATATGGATTTTCTCTTGGTAATTGATCTGGAAGGGAAAGTTGAGATACTTGAGTTTCCTGTACTGCTGATGGATGCAAAATCCATGCGCTTTGTCGATTTCTTCCATAGGTTTGATTCTTTTTTTGCTTTACAGTATGTTCGTTTTCAGATCTTTTTACTTATATATGGGGTAAAAACATGTTACAGGTTCGTGAGGCCAACTAAAATGAGCGAGCAAGCGATAAACAAATACATTGAAGGAAATATGGCGAAATCGGGGTTGATAGGTAATGTGAAGGCTGAAGCTACTTGATACTTCTATTCTATATCATGTCAGTGTTGGCCTTTTCACTCTGCTGGCTTATTCCGTTCTATAATAATCAGTAGGATATCTACAGCTGATGGAATTTCTCTGTGGCTAAAACTTGACTTAATTGTAGTCTGGCATGATACGGCTCAGCCATTTACGGAAGTTTATTCAGCAGTTTGAAGCTTGGCTGAATCAACATAACCTATGGAAAAGGAAAAGGGTGGCTGCCTTAATCGTGCAGCATTTGTAACCTGGTGAGTCTTGAACTCTTCAAGAGTTCATATTTATTTGTTTTCGTCCGCTGATGAATGTTCGTTTCTTTGATGTTAGTGGAAATTGGGATTTGAAGACAAAGGTCCCCAGCAATGCCAAGTTTCTGGGATCAAGCTCCCTCCGTATTTTAAGGAATGGATCAATGTAAAGGATGTATATCTTAACTTTATGGCCGTGAGGTAACTGCGAGCTTTTAATTAAACTAAGCCATTCTTTTCATCTTTCTTGCATTTCATGCATCTTCAAGCTTTGAATCAACAATACATGGCCGATACTTGTTTCCTGAAACGATGACTTTTATGTTTGAGCTAAATCTTCTATGCTCAGTAAAATCCTGTCTGAAACCTGTTTCTGCACATTTCTGGGTGTAAAGCTATATTTTTTCTCTGATTATAAAGCATGTTTGTATTATTTATCATACCAACCTTGCATTGTTGATCCTTTCTGTCAATCTATGTTTTACCCTGATGCTTTATACACATTCAACACGAGTACGAGAGATGATCCCTCAAATATCCGCATTCAACACTTATCTCGAGTCTTGGTAACATGGATGACAGGCCAGGGGAATGATGTCGATGATGAAGCAGCTTGAAATTCGGTCATTGGGATGTCACCATCTGGGTATCGATGACTCGAAAAACATAGCAAGGGTACTGCAACGCATGCTTGCTAATGGCGCGCACATGCAAATTACTGCAAAGAGGAACCCTGAATCTCAAAAAGTCGAATTTCTCTTTGAAAATCGTATCGAACATCCACTAAGTAGGAGATAAGCTTAAGCTAAATCTAAGCCTTGCACTTTTAACATTTGATTCTATGTTTTTTAACCCTTTTGATGCTTGGTTAATTCTTCCCGGACTAGCTTTGATTAATCCATGAGCTGGATTTTGAATCACTTTATTCACCTGTAAGTTTCAGACGTGGTAAACAGTTCGAATTTGAAGATGAACATTAAGCAGCATTGATTCAGAATATTCAGATGACCCCTTTTCTTAAACTGATTTGTTAATTTCCTGTTAGATATACAAAAATCACTTGACAATTGGTGTATTCATGTATATGCTCGTGTCACGATCGTCTTCGTGTAGTCTGTGAGATTAGTTGAGTTTAAATTTTGTTCAAACACCAGACAATTTATCCTTTTCGGATAATTAGACATTCCTTAAATAAATTAGTTATTCAATCCGAATATATGAATAGAATAAACTGGAATGAAAGAATCATCTGCAGTTAATCTGGATTAATCTATTAGTAGATTACATATATAATATGTTATAGATTAATCTTTAATTTTAAAAATATTTTAATAAATAATAAGACAAAATAAAAATTTAGGAAATTCTATTAAAAAAATCAAATGTGGAGGAAATTTTTTTAGGACACACTAAAAGGCAAGTAATTAATTATTACAACAAAAATTATTAAATTTATTAATTATTAGTTAGATTGTTACAAATTTACAACTGAGCCCGAAACAGTCGAAAGCCCAATCCACAATTGAATATATATATATATATATACACAAATTATGCTTGTTAGTTCTTACCTGTTAGTCTGTCATCACCATTCTTTGTTCAAAGTTCAAGTTGTTATTACTGCAGGTCAGTCAATTTTCTTTTTTCAATATGTTTTCTCAGTGATAAAGAACTCATAGATTGTTGATATATTTAATCCAAACTGCATGTATGATTCTGCTATCATCTTTGAAATTCGCAAATTTTCTGAGAATAAGATATATGGGTCTAACTCTGTTTTGCTAAATTCAGTCATAGTTACATACCCCAGTTTCTTTTAAATGTCCAATTCACGAACCCACATGTAATTCATAAGAACCATGAATTTTAAGGCAGAATTATCTATTTTTTGACATTTATGATATTGGTTTTTAACTATTATCTGGTTTTATAAAGTTGTAATTTATGCAATTATGGTAACCTACTCGGTTCCATTATACTTAGGGATTTGCTTGATTATCTAATCTTGATTCTGTATTGGCTTCAAAATTTTATAGCTACTTCACAGATTGGGAAAAGGAATTGAAGGCTGAATCGAAAATGGAAGGGGCTGTGAGGGTCCAAATTATTTCGCAAATGGGCATTTCAGAGGTTCCACACAATACATTCAACCCCCGAGAATCGGCCTAAGTCTGAAACTAACCATCGCAAAGTGTTCCTGCCATGATCTATCCTGTGAAAAGGAGTCTGTCCTGGCTGCCATTCGAGCCGCTTGTACAGAATGGGTAGCTTTCATGTTATAAACCATGGGGTACCTACGAAACGGATTAACTTGATTTATTTTGCAGGACATTGATGGCTGATTATAGCGATGAGATGAAAGCATTGGCTCAGAGACTGTTGGCATTGATGTCCGTGAGTTTAGGACTCAAGGCATCCTGCATGGAAGATATGATTGGGAATTCTATCAGAACATAACAGCCAGTTATTACCCTCCTTGTCCACGGCCGGATTTGACGTTGGGCCTGCAATCTCATTCTGATATAGGTGCCATCACACTTCTAATACAGGACGATGTTGGCGGTCTGCAAGTGCTCAAGGATGGAGAGTGGCTCCTTGTGGATCCCCTGCCGAATGCCATCCTCGTTCTTGTGGCCGATCAAACTGAGGTATTACTCATTTTTTTTAATATTCCATTTACGCATCATACTACGAAAGAAGAATCATAACCATTTGATGTATTGGGAACTTGCCTTACCTGCAGATTATAACTAATGGAAATACAAAACCTGTGTGCACCGAGCCATAACAAATGCAAACAGAGCCCGTCTCTCGATCGCACTTTTCATGACCCAGCCAAGACAGTCCAAATATCCCCTGCCTCTGATCTCGTGAGTCAAGATTCCCCACCTCGGTATGCTTCAGTTGTTTATGGAGACTACTTGTCATCATGGTACTCAAACGGCCCTGAAGGAAAACAAAATCTCGACACACTCCTGCTCGACATTTCAAAATAAACCAGAAATGATTGTACTCTCTGCAACTTAAACCCTGAAATAAGTTCATGATCTTCATTTCAAAAACTCAAAAATATTTAAGCTATTGCCTTGCTTTGTTTATGCATTTTAAGAAGCTGGGATTAATTACTCTCCTTAAATAAGCATGAATTTATTGATCAATGAATTGCTTTGTTTTTCACATGAAGCTGCAACTGAAAGATCTAAGTTAAAATCATGAAGTAAAAACACAAGATTAGTGAGCTTTGAGAAAGACATATTCATGATAATATCTGGTTATCCTCCTTATGGTGCTTCAACTTACATTATCATGCAAGCTTTGGATGAACTTATCAATATTCATCATCAATTCAGGTTTAATATTTCTCTCCACTTCTTGTGATTATTCTTCAGCAACTCACCCCTTCACTGTCTTATTCATTACTGAT